TGAATCTTATTTTTAGTTTTCCTTTGTTCGTGAGACAGAGAGTAACTCAATAACTGTTATGGTTTAACAGAATAAACACATTTACCTACCCTAATATATGAGTTTATCAACATCTATTTTACAATCATATGCTTTTTTAAGGGTTGCTAGAAGGTTATAAGTATAAAAGACATACAGTCTTCATATATCAGTTAAGGGTACTCAAATTTATTAGAGCTGAATAATGAATTCTTCGGCGATCATGTGGGTATTATTATTGTGTACAAGCTGCATAATGGTTCGGTTCGTCAATAAATTTCATTGATATTAATAAAAAATGTATGTATATGTAAGAATATTTTATTTGCTTCTATACATTTGTATTAGTAAATTTTGAAAAGCCATTATTTATCATCTTAAACAACAAAAAATACGACAAAAATTAAAAATAATTGTAAAGAAATTAAATAAACAGCGAAATTTTAAAACATGAGATTCGAATTGATTTCCTATTTTTGTCCAAAACTTTTAATGTTAGTTCTAAGTCCATTTTACATACAATTCTCAACCCATGATCAACTGACTTTTGTTGTTGTTTTAAATGATTGAAATTAGCATAGTTCCTACAAATTTTAATAGTTGGAAGCTGTTTTTATATACTCATTCCATATAAAAAATTTTACTTTGCTGGGTTGGGATTAGAATTGCTATACCCTCTATACTTTGGTTGTACATATATTGTATCTAACAGATGTGGGTACCTGGACACTACGGAACTCAAAGCAATGAGTTTGCTGATTCTATTCCTGTTCTTTAAAGGTCTTAAAAAGGCAGATCTGATGCATATTATAAAGCAAAATTTCATAATAACTTACTTACTTTACTGGCGTAGACACCGCTTTCGCGATTATAGCCGATTTAAAAAAGTGCGCCATGCGTTTCTTCTTTTTCTGTTTGGCGCCAATTGCAAATACTAAGAACAGCCAGGTCCTTCTCTACCTGGTCTTTCAAATGGAGTGGAGGTCTACCCCTTCCTCTGCTTCCAACGGGTTGTACTGCACCGAAAACTTTCAAAAATGGAGGATTCGCATCCATACGGATCACATGACCTAGCCAGCGTAACTGCTGCTTCTTGATTCGCTGAGCTATATCAATGTCGCCGTATAACTCGTACAGCTCATCGTTCCATCGTCTGCGGTATGGAACGCGCAAAAGAAGAAGCTTCTATCAAAAACTCCTAACACAGTCTCATAAGATGCTGTCGTCGTCCATGCTTCCATACCATATAGTAGGACGGGAACGATGAGGGACTTGTAGAGTTTCGTTTCGTCCAAAGTAGCACTTGTTGAAAAGGCTGACGTTATTATTGGTGTTAATGTTGGTTCCTAGATAGACGAAATTAGCTTCGACTTTAAAGTTATGACTGCCAACAGTGACATGGGAGCCAAGTCGCGATGGCGATAACTGTTTGTTTGATGACAGGAGAGATTTCGTCTTGCCCTCGTTCACTACCAGACCCATTCGCTTCGCTTCTTTATCAAGCCTGGAGGAAGCAGAACTAACGGCGCGGTTGTTAAGGCCGATAATGTCAATATCATCGGCGTATGCCAGTAGTTCTACAATCTTATTGAAGATTGTACCTTCCCTATTCAGCTCTGCAGCTCTTAATATTATCTCCCGCATCCAATTGAGGAAATCACACGACAAGGGGTCACCGTGGCTCAAACCTTGTTGGGTAGCGAGCGGCTCGGAGAGGTCCTTCCCAATTCTGATATCGCTTCTGGTGTTGTCTAGCGTCAGCTTAAACACTGTCGAAGGCGGCTTTAAAATCGACGGAGAGGTGGTGGATGTCGATCATCCTTTCACGGGTCTTTTCCAAAATTTAATGCATGGTGAATATCTGATCAATGGTTGACTTACCACGTCTGAAGCCACACTGATAAGGTCCAAACAGTTTGTTGACGGTGGGCTTCAGTCTTTCACACAATACGCTCGACAGGATCTTGTTGGCGATGCTAAGGAGGCTTACCCCCCGGTAATTTGCGCAGAATGTAGGGTCCCTTTTTTATCGATTGGGCAGAGCACACTCAAATTCCAATCATCGGGCATGCTGATGCATGCACCTTGTCAGCTTTTCACCGCCATGTTTGAATAGTTCTGACGGTAGGACGTGAGCTCCCACCGTTTTGTTGTTTTTTAAGCGGACGATTGCTATTCGATTACCTTCATGATCAGGTAATGGAACGTCGTTTCCATCGTCATCGATTGACGTTTCTTGTTCACGATCTCAGCTGGTTCAGCTGGTTTGAGAAGTGTTCCCTCCATAAACTCAATATACTCTGGGCATCGATGGCTAGATCACCTCTTTGTGTCCAACAAGAATCTGCTCAGCCCTTGAAACCTTACGTAAGCCATCCTATCTTTTCATAGAATTTTCGAGCATTACCCCGGTCGGCCAGCTTCTTAAGCTCTTCATACTCACTCTTCTCGGCTTCTTTCTTTTTTTGTCTGCATATGCGTCTTGCTTTTTTCTTCATCTCTCTTCATCTATCCCATCCCGCACGTGTTGTGGTCGATCTCAAGGTTGCGAGGTAAGCAGTATGTTTTCTCTCTACTGCGACCCGGCAGTCCTCATCGTACCAGCTGTTTTTGTGACGGCCGTCCCACAGTTACCGTATACTGAGTTTCTGTGAAGTGCTGTGAAGTGAGGAGGAGTGCAAGTCGAGTAGAATATTGCTCGAGAGTCTGTTGTGATTGCAACTTTTCGACGTCGATTTTGGTCCGAGTCGATGTTGGGTCCTCTGAGTGAACGCACGTCAAGACATGTCTATCACATCATGATCGATCTGGTTTTGTGTTTTTCGATCGTTGTGAAAGATGAATTGTCCAACAGCCGTACCAAAGAAACCTTCTATTCCCACCCTGGCATTAAAGTCGCAAAGCACGATTTTCACGTCGTGTCGGGGACAGCGCTCTAGGCGCTCAGAAAATGCATCTTTGCCCAAATCGTACTTCTTTTTCGTCGGGCCGTGGACGGCGGGGACGGGCGGAGACGCTCATCCACCGGGATTCATGCCAGTACTCTTCCACCACAAATCCGTTGCCAAATTTGCGATCCTTTATATGGTGGCAGTTATGTCAGCCTTTATTCTAACGAGGACATCAACCAGCTGGGCAACGGCATCATCCTAATTAAGGAACCGGACATTCCAGGTGCATGCCCTCAAATCGTGCTCCTTAATTCGTTTGCGAGGGTCGTCAACATAAAGGGGGTATCTCATTTGTGGCGTTGTATAATTTTTCATTGGAGCTGTTTTCTACGTGGCCAGTTCAAACCCAGCGCGCAACCTCGCCACTAAGTTCAAAGTTTTTTACACATTTATATATCAAGCCGCTTGCTTCAAGACCGGCGCCCGATTGCAGCCGCACCTCTGGTGAACGTACGCTGCAATTAGACTTCAGTCGGGGTTGCTCCACTGAAGCTTCCTCCCTCATTAGCCGTGACCCAAGGCTCCGCATGGGTTGGTTACCGCATCTTGGCCAAGGGTTGATCACGTTTTCAGGGTGCGCGACGTGGACACAAGAGTAGGAATTGAATTTAGCCTCGCAGCTGTAACAGCATACCCAAAAAGTTGACTACACCCCATTTTTACCCATTTAACTATATTAAAGCTATATTAATGCTACAATTTCATACTGAACAGGCCTCACTGCAAGCTGTGAAATGCTTTTGAGTGATAATGTCCCGAATGTTAAAGTACAATTAGGGCGCAACTTTCTTTGATCCTATTGAGTCGATTGTTTTATCACATGTATACATTTTATCATTTTCATTTTGAAAATTATGAGGCCTTAAATTACATACATACATTTTGCGCTTATAATAAGCTACCGGAACATAAAGTTTGGAATATACAGATCAAATTTGATCCATAATATTCCCTCGGGTTATCTTTTGCTTTTTGTATGTCATCTGTTAAACTTTTTCGCCTGTTCGGTACTGTTAAGATGTGAGTCATGAATTTCCATAAGATGTAACCGCACGTGTCTTTACGAGGAGTTTGAAAATTTAAGTTGAACTCCCTAATGAATATTTTCCAATAACTCGACTCCTTCATACGTGATACATTATTTTAACATTCAGCTCATACATTTTTCTAATATCTAAGTCGACACTTAGATACATTCGACCTTAAGTGTGATGGAATCTCGTGTAATGGCTCTCACATGCATTTAACTTTTTCTTCATCTATTTCTTCTAGATGAACCAGCCATTTTGCCACGACCATCCGTTCCAGGTGTTTTAACATTTAAGACACGGCTTAATCTTTCGTTAGATATTTTGAAATTATCAAAAAAAAGTTGTGCAAACAGAAACTTCTGAATTCCGTACATTTAGAAGAAACTCAAAACTACATTTTCTTATATATTTTTCGTAATTTCTCGATCGTCTTTGTTTTTTGATTGTTTTCCAACTAAACTGTACAGAAACAAATCCTTTTTCGAAACTTGGGACAAAGGCAATTTTTATTTGCGAAAAGCATACCACCCATATGCTTAGACTCTTTTGTTTCATATTCCTCTCTACTATTTCTCTTCATCTTTCTTATATGTTGTGCATAATGACGATGACTTCGTGACTGACTGATTTATCTGAAGACGATATTAGTCGTATTTGTTTCGATTTCTTGGGAGCATAACTTATATTTCTTCGAGGTATAATGTCTACTAGTCGTACTAACATTGAAAAATTTATAGAAAATTATTTTAAATAAATTAAGTTAAATTTTTTAATTGCGTTCGATCGCGGCAGGGAATGTCAATCCCTCCTTCATAAGAAACCATCAGCCGTATGGAGGCCGGCTTGGTATAAACTGTAGGTCTCTCCATTTCTTGGAAAATCATCAAGTCCCAAATTCACAAATTGGAGAAGGAGCTCGGCCGAAAATCGCTTCAGCGGTTACAAAGCGCCATTATATATTTATATATATATATATATAATGTCCTCAATTACAATAAACAGTTCGTAGACATGACAAAATTACTAACTACTTTGCAAAACTTTGTGAACAGACTGACTTATACTATTATCAAAATAACCAGTAACTATATTTTGTTTGCCAACCAAAAAATAAACACAGTTTATTGAGTTAATTTTGATGGCATTATGCTAACCTTCGCAGATTATGATACAAAAAGACAGGTTGTGCCAATTACCATTGAATAAGAGTCCTTAATATCGCATATAAGGTCCTGTCGAGCGTATTTTACGGTTCTCTACGAGTTGGGAATGGCAAATACCGCAGCCGATGGAATGATGAGCAGTGTGAGATAGTGTGTGAGCAGAGGAAGGGAAAGGCCTCCGCTCCGTTGGAAGCACCAAATTCGGCTATAAGCACCACGGCAGTTAAAGGGAAGATACAAGAGCATGTTGTCGCTCAGTTTGGTCGTTGCCACATGATTAAGATCGATGATCTTGAATATCTGGGCATGATAGCCTCTCCTCTATCAAAGTATCGTAACCAATTTGTAGAAGGCTTAACTATCGGACATTCTGGTCGCTTTTACCGTTGCACCTGAAATTAAAACAGTGTGACTTACGACTTTTCTTTTCAACCTTGTCAAAAATAAGTAATATCGTGTTTCAATTTACCTTTATCTTGCGCTTAGCTGCAAGGCTTCATTAGTTTCCCTAATTTTTTTCCCGAAACTTCTTATGTACCACATAATTGGATAGCTTTTCTTTGAACTCTACCGTAAGATGTCTGCTTAACATCACAATCCAAAAAGTTTGATTATGAGTGTCAGTGTTTTCTTTAATAATATGTACCTAATATATTTTTGCAAATAATTCCATTGAAAGGTTTTTGCATACGCCTCAAATTCACTTACGTACAATGCTTAATAACACAACCACAATTCATATCGTAATGGCACCGTTCCAAGAAGCTTTTGAACAAAAAACTTTGATTTGCATTTGCGGGATGTTTGCAAACTTAAATATGCCACCAAATGATTGAAATTTACTGAACTCTTTCTTTAATTTGTGGTATGATGGATTTTTAGGAGGAGCTTTTTATTTCATGCCAAAATTACGCTTGGAGGGCTTGATATTCTCTGCCGCAATCAGAAAAATTTGTTTTCTATAATTTTGGATGTGGCAGTACACAACGCTTACCATTCAGCTCTTGCAGGCGCTTAAACTCGGACCAGAAGGTGCTGAAAATTCAAAAGCCGCAAAAAAAAAAAGTAGATGTACACAAATACCCAAGACGGGAAAAGTTTTGTGCATCCAAATGTGTTGAAGGAAAAACTAAGTTAATGAAAATTTATGAAATAAAATAAATAATTGAATGTTAATGCCAAAAAATCGTGATGGAAAGTGCGATAGCTTACTGTATGAGCTATTCAAGGATTTCGCCGGAAAGCTGATGAGTTGCTTTTTTGGATAGAAAATAGAGAAAAAGAGGATCGCAAAGGATCCGAGCCGTTCGATACTAAATTAGATCTCAAACATTATGATTTTTTACACTACAATACTACTTCTTTAGCTAAAAATTACGAATTAACTGATATAACACAAGACAATACTAGAAAAATTAATTGTTGATGTTTTCTGAATTAAGAGTTCAGGTTAACTATCTTATTTTTCTATATATAAAAAGCTTTGTTTTGAATGACTGATGGATCAAAATGATGCAAAAAACTGGTGCAGAATTACCTCAAACGTATCAAAGTTTCTTAAAATTCACGATGCGAGCATTTTAATGTTGCAGCGCTTCACATAGATTCAAACTTTCTAATAAAAAATCAATATCATAAAGAAAATATTTAAACTGCATTTCATTTACGTTTATTTTCGAAACCATATAATGGATAACCCTGTGTATCTTTAAAAGCTAAACTTAGGAAATAGTCATTTCGGGAACTATGAACTTTTTTCTAATAAACATAATTTTTTTAAAATCACTTTTGATTAAAATTAACATTACCTGAGTTGGTGTCAAGTGTATTAAGCTGGCTAGGTGTTCTCGTTCGGGGGCCGACAGGTACCTCTGCTGTTTAAATCGCCTCTCTAATTCATATACCTTAAATTAAAATAGTGAAAATATTTTAAAAATGTAAATGTATAGTATTTTATTATCTTAAGGGAAAACGCCACTTTTTCAGGAACAAATGTTGAAAACTTCCTTTGCAGTCTTAAACATCGTGGAAGTCACATATTGTTCATAAATATAACAAGAAAAACAACAGAAATAACCGGAAAAGCAACCAAATATACCGACCCCAAAACAGGCACTAATTTCGTGGAGCTTACATTGCCTAACTTCTGATATATAAGACCAAATTCATCTGCTTCAGAAATAGCTACAACTTAAATACCATGGAATGCATGATTGATGCCTACACAAAAACGTCTGTGTAAAGAACTTTTGCCAATAAAATTTGTCTATATTTGCATTAAAGATAAAAACGTTCAAACATAAAATAAAAGATCGGCCGTTTTTCTTTAGTTCATAACTTTTTTTACACATCGCAGATCAACGAAATACTTCATATTCCTAAAGTAAGATTTTTTATAAAGCGAATAGTACCAAACTTATCTGCAGAGTTATGCATTATAACGAGATATTTCAAATTGAACTTATCTCTTCAAATAATATCTAAATCGAAACTTTTTTTACGAAAACTGTTTGGCAAATACTTTTAAATATTCATAGTAATTCTTGAACTAACTGCCACTATAAAATTCTGAATAGATCCTGACCTCTTTTATCGTTTTAATTATATAGCCAACAAAACATAAATTCATTGACGCTAATCTAGCCCTTAGATATGTATTAATAAAAAATAACCTTACACACAAATTATTATTCATTACATACAGAATTGTAGGCAAAAAGAAAAAAATACAATTGCCAAGGATACTGCAGTAAGATGTTAACCGAAATAACATTTAGGTCTATGAAGCTGAAAAAGTTGAGAAAAAATAAAATAAATAATAGCAGCAAGACACAATGCTAACCCTTTGGCTATGGTCCTCGCCAATTTTACTAGAAATCAAAAAAAAGTCGTGTTCATTTTTATAGAAATTTAGAAAAGTTTTCACATGGAATGGGCTTTGAAAACTATAGTTTAGACTCCGATTGTTCAAGGAATTTGGAGTTCTGTATTTTGTTTTACCCGATTAGGATTTAGTTCGATTTTTAGAGGTTTTTTTTTATGAAGCATAAAAACGAGGCGGTCGGGGTAGTGGCCAAGTGGTTAGCATACTGCCATTCGGAAGGCCCGTATTCAAATCCTGTTACGACCAACATCCAAAAACTATAGAAAAATAATTTAAATAATAAATTAAGTTAAACTTTCTATTTGCGGGCGCTCCTCGACAGGGAATGTCAACCCTACCGAACGTATAGCCACAATTTGGAGGGAGAGCTCGGTCGAAAATCGCTTCAGCGGTTAAAAAGCGCCAATTATATATATAAACGTAAGGAATGAATTAACGTTCTTGTTAAATAAAAGAACAAAACCAGGGATGTTGATCAATGCGCTACATTTCTACAATTTATGAAAGCCGAACGTAACAAAAGTTAATAGGTTAATTATAAAGTTTTCTCTAATTAATGAATTTTCGATACTCAGCGGATTGCGAATTGTCAATAATGCAAGCGGGGCCACCACAAAAAAAAATTATTTTAAATTACTTTTTGAGAATTTGTTTCTAACAAACAATCTATTGTTTATAACTGAATGTAATTTTATATTACATCACCAATGGTTCTGAGCAAACTCCAATGCCGTAGCCCTGATACCCTATAGTCAAAGAACAAAGGCTACTTTCAAAAATTATTCTTCGAGTATGCATAAATCAAACAAGTATTGATTGCTCTCAAATTTAAATCCAATAGTCTGTGGTAAATTGCAAAAAGAATGATCGCCGAATCAGCAAATTCTTGTTTAAGCATACAAATTTTACGTTCAAAAATAATAATTATAAATAATCAAAGCGCTCATGGTCCGCTCATTGAACATATTTACTGAGCCCTCAGTTCGCTGAAAGCACCCACATTCTGCACTTCTACTCGAATCAAAATAGTGTAGCGAATGTCAAATGAAAGAGAGAAGCCGATAACTAGTACATTCTAGAAACGATAAAACAAGAACCTTCGATAGCGAACAACTCGATGCTTCTACGCTTTCGTCTGCGAGCAGTCGACTGCTATATAAGGGCGACACTCAGCTGCCAAGTTAAGTTAGTTACAAAGTTGCGTTAACATAGAGTACAGCGGAGTAAACGCGTTGGAGATTACATTTAAGTAAAGTAAATTGTGAAAGTTGATGTTAGTTATTGTAAATAGTAAAGTGCATTGTAATTGAATTGTGAATTACTGAGTAAATGAAGGATATTAGATAAATTCTTTGTAATGAAAGAAATTGCAAATTAAGTTGGCGTTTTTTATTTAACAATCCAGAGATCGTACCTGAAGGATTCAGAAAATCATCGAGGTTGATTTAGCAAAATCGTAACAATTGGTGTCAGAAGTGGGATTGTTAAATAAATCCCAAAGGATAATATTTGCAAAATGGTAAAGATTCAGGATTTGACGATACCTCCTCTCAGTTTGCAAAGCGAGGATTATCGACAACTGGAAATAAGGCAGAGCTGCAATCGAGACTGCGAGAAGCAATGGAAGTTGAAGGCATCGACTTGAACCAGTACGAGTTCCATCGCGAGGATGAAGATGTATCCTTGAAGGACATTGACAAGGAAGAGGCTGATGATTCTGTGAAGGAGTTAGAATCACCATCAAGTAATATTCAAGAAAAGGCTGCTGGCTCATCTAAGGGTATTGACATGAACATGTTATTGACTGCGATTACACAAAAGTTCGATGCCAAGGACACAAAAATGAACGCCAGCATCGCACAAAATATGTCTGAAATGAGAGCCAGCATCTCACAAAAGTTCGATGCCAGCATTGTACAAAATATGTCTGAAATGAGAGCCAGCATCTCACAAAAGTTCGATGCCAGCATCGCACAAAATATGTCTGAAATGAGAGCCAGCATCTCACAAAAGAGGGATGCACAGAATGCCTACATTGCATCACAAATGGCGCAAATACAGCAAAATCTGTTGAGGAACAATGCGGAAGTTAAGGAAAGGCAAGATCTAATTGAGACGGAAGTCAACGCATTGGAAAGTCGTGTCCGGGAATTGAAGCTAAATCGTCCCACCGCTTCAGTGAACGCACCAAAGGTAAAAACACCATGTTTTGACGGGAAAATCCCATTTCCAGTCTTTAAGCACCAATTTGAGAAGACAGCTGAAACAAAAAACTGGAGCATAGAGGAAAAATCCGCTGCACTATTCGTTGCGTTGGAAGGACCTGCAGCCGAACTTTTGCAAACCATATCCTTAAACGAGAGAAATGATTACGACGGATTGATGCGAGCCCTGGAAAGACGCTATGGTAGCGAACACAGAAGACAGATTTACCAGATGGAGTAAGAAAAGCGCGCCCAAAAAGCCAACGAATCTCTGCAGGAATATGCTTCGGAATTTGAAAGATTGGCTCATTTAGCTATTGGAGACACATCGAGTGAGCATCTTGAAAGGGTAAAGATAAAAAGGTTCATCAGCGGAGTAAAAGACGTGTACACCAAGCGAGAGCCATACGCGAATCCAAAGTTGACCTTCGCTGAAACTGTTACGTATGCACAAACACGTGAAACGGCGGCACTCATAAGCAGACCATCCTACAAAGTCAATAAAGTAGAGGTTGAAGTACCAGATGTGATGACGGAAATATTGAGAACTCTGAAATCGCTAGAAGGGATGAATCATTCTGGTTTTAAAACTCAAGCGAAAAAGTGCTTTAAATGTGGAAAGCCTGGCCACTACGCACGCGAATGCAAAACGAGTTCCAGCGGACAGGAGGTACAGCGAAAACGGAAGGCAGAGGTAGGTGAACCATCAACTTCGCAATCGTTAAACTAAATCGAGCTAGCCTAAAGGGGCGTAAGCTGGCTCCTGCAATTGAATGCCCCATAATCTCCGTATCGCAAATTGGCAGAAAACCGAGCAACATTACTATTGGTGAATATGTCGATGGACGAGAGCGAATATTAACAGTGGATACGGGCGCATCACACTCCATTATTCGAACTGATCTGATCGCTAAAGAAGTGAGACCATTACCTGGAGCAATATTGAAAACGGCGACTGGTGAGGATAGCCAAGTAGTGGGGGAAGTAACGTGTGAGGTCACAGTAGGTAATGTGACGGTGCTACACAGCTTCATCGTCGCGCAGATTGTAGATGAGGTAATCATAGTAGTGGACTTCTTGATGGATCAAGGTATCAAGATCGACTTGAATAACAACATTATGGAATATAAGAACATGGAGATACCACTAAGCATTGGCTATAATTCCACGCACAGCAGCAAGCAAGTGATCTTAGAAGGCAGCGAGCTGATTCCACCAAAGTCAGAAGCAGTTGTGTGGGCAAAAATTAATGGAGATTGTGGGACAAACAAATTGTGGGTTGTCGAAGCAACGCAAGATTCTACACCGGATATACTTATTGGTAAAACCCTGGCTAAGGCGGAAAAGAATGGACGCATACCAGTTAGTAGAAGAGTAATATAAATTCTCATCAAACCATGTTTCAGAAACACAGAAGACATCAACTGATGAAAACTCAAATGTGTTGCGAGCATAATCCATTTTATCCGAACTTAGACTCCGCGCATTGTAATGGACTGCTCATGCCAATACTAGGACAGCTGTTTTGTAAGCTCAACAAGAATGAAAACATAAGCAGCCTCAAAAATAACAATATAAAACAAGGAAAAGAGAATTACCATTTTTACAAAAACGTGCAAATAAAACATATATGAAATATATATTGTATTTAGCTACTATACAAATATAAATATAAATACAACAAGTTATAGTTAACGAAGTCGCTGAATATCATCAACATTTCCTATTTTGAATGCAGTGAAGTCGGTACTGAGTCTAACAAAAACATCTCCTCTCATAGAGAACACCAACTGCAGATTCCCCAAACATTTTAGTTTTAAGCCTTCTTGTAAAATTTTTCTTTTCTCGGTAGACAGGCTTTCGAAAATGCTAAATGTTAGAGGAATAGCCGATTTTATTTTCTTTCGACATTCAGAGAAATTGCAAAGAGTACGGGCGCGATCAGCAGGAGAATAAAATTTTATGGTTATCATATTCGACTGTTTTATTGTGAAAGCATCACGAACCTGTGGTACCATAAAGTCAATGGAGAGATATACTTGATTGAAGATACTCCTAATGTTCTCTCCCAAATGGTACACTAAAAGCAATTGCTTCTGCCTGAGAACTCTCAACTCTGCTTGACAGCAAGTTTATTGTTGCTTTCAGTTTCCGCATTTCACCTTCTTTTTGTTTCACAGCAGCCTCAAGCCTCAAAACGCGCTCAGCAGACTCATTGCACTTCATATTTAATACGTTGATCACTCAGCTTCTTCTTGACCGTCTCTTGCATATCATTGATTTTGCAAGAGAGCGTGTTAAAAAGCGAGTGCATCTCTTCTGTTTGGATTGGCTGGATTGGCTGGCTAGGTGCTCATATTTATTTAAAAAGTACATTGACGAATATAAGCACAAATACACAAAGATATACAAGAAAATCAGCTTCGACGGGCATTGTTACTTTAACTGCCGCCGAAACAATATTAAATTCTCATCCGGCCGCAGCTAAAACTAAAGTAGAAACTCAGTCAAAGATGATCTACACCCAACGAGTGGAAATTAGGTCGCATAACCAAGGTTTATATAGGAGCAAATCAAGGGTCCGTGCTGTGTCCGTACTTGCACGATAGTATTGCCAACATATACATATCCATCTAATATAAACAAATCTGGTGTCACAGTATTTGTAACCAGACTAGTTTTCTCACCAGTTTTCAAATCGTATTTATGGGTTTTATCTCAAATTTTTTACCAGGAGTTTAGGGTTCGATTTAGTTAAAGAAAACACAAGTTTCAAGGAAATGGGCGAAGGATCGAGAAAGGGTCACCGGCAGATTTAACAAAAATAAGAAACATAAGCATAGAATAATATAACAATTTTATAATAGATAAATTAGCGAACACTCAAAATAGTTATGGGGCTAAAAAGCCCCACTTTAGACAAGAAGATATTAAAAATCATGAAATGTACTGTCTGACAGTGCACTATGGGCAAAAAGACCGAAATTATTACAAAGAGTGCATTTTTTAATCCTTTAAAAACTTGAAATTGAATGTGTTTTCCAATTATGCCTACTTAGAAGAATATAAAACCATTCGAACAAAATTTTTAAAGCGAGCGGTTTGAAATTGGCCGCAAACAGCAGCTTGTCAAATGGGTGTTTGTTTTTTTTTTCTCGTTGAGAAATGGCAAACTATCGTATAGGTATGTAAAAGCAACGTTGGGTCTTAGTTTCTGTATGTTCTGTGTTGTCGTGCATCGTCAATTGTTGTTAGAGTATTTTTGCAGCTAAAATTTAACAAATGTAATTGTGTTCCGCGGCCTCTTAGAAAGGCTAGAGTTCAAATCCTGTTACGAAAATTAGTTCAAATAAAAACTTTAGTTTAATTATTACAGCAGAACTACCCTAAGCGAATAAAAAGTAAGGATTTACGTTTGAAATGTGACTAAGGGCTCTGCCGCATCCAGTTAGTCTTCATCGGACTTGTGCTCGGCATATATCCTTCATAATATTATAATTTACTTCAAATTATCGTTTATGATATATCTTTTGCTAAATTTTAAACGTGAGTGTTTAGTATCCCTAATGATATCTATATAAACACATTCTCAGATAAATCTAAGTTATATTTGTTATTTATTGTACTTTGCTTACTTTGTTAATCTATATAGTGGTAATGATTAACTTGTTCCAGGAATAAGAATTAGCTTTAAGACTTTCGAAATTATTGTTAGTTTCCAAAAAAGAAAGATTCAATAAAACATTACAAATGTGCCAAATTTGAACTCTTTACATATACATTGTTGGACGCACAACCGTTTCAGTGGTTATAAAACGCCATTTTTATGTATTGTGTTCCGTAGAGTGTAATTTTTATACAGCGCGCCCTTCCAAACAACTGAAAATGCAATGTTTATCGTCAAAGTATTTATATAGATTAAGGTTTTATTGATATCATTTGCCCGGTTTTGCAACTTTTTAAAAAAAATAACATGTTGTAGCCAATGGCTTCAGGAGGCGATTATTATAACTTTGTATGAATGGCTTACGGATTCATCTCTCTCTAAAATGAGTGTACTAAATAAAATTACTCACATTCGGGAAACCCGCTTAAAGAATAAATAAGTAAATGATCTTGCAACATAGACTTTTCAACGCAGCACTTATTACATGCTGCTTCTATTTCTGCGAAGAAGATGTTTTGGTTAATGCGTTAAAAGTTATCAGGGAAGAACAAAGTGGGGATCGAAATTCTCAGATGATTATTCCACTTACCACTGGAGGAGCATTGCCATCCTTGTTATAAAATGGGCTTACCCAACAGCAATATATCAATAACATAGAGCATGGCTGCGAGTTGCCAAAACTCTTTTGAGACCAATTCAAACAGAAATTTCGGAATATTTTGCACCTTTTTAGGCTCTACAGCCTTCAATACATATATACAAATCAACAAATCACTAGTGTTTGGAATAGCAATGCAATACAGAAATATTAAGAGAAAAAGAATATTTGGATATATGCATACAAAAGAGAGATAAACAATTGGTATAACCTATAAAACACAAACGACACTTATTGATGGAAAAGTACTTTACGCCTTAACTGGTACGTCATCAACTCAGTGTTGCCCAATCTGTGGGGTTAAGCCAAAAAATCTTCCCGAAACCACTGATTTTGACTCCGAATGTTTTAAGCCAAGAACTGCTATTCTGAAATATGGTATCCGTCCATCGCATGCCTGGATTCGTTTTTTTTTTTTTGGACGAAGTTCAAAGGTGGCATATTACCCAGGCTAATCAAATATGTTATACAATTTGTCAACGACAGTACATAAAATGTTAGTACAAGGTTGGCAAATAATAAACCCGTCTTTACTTCCGTTTAGATGTTTAAGAGAAAATTTTTCAGAAGCAAGGAATAAGTACTATAAAAACGAGAAAATTGCCGCTTAAACAATGGCAGATGCTTTTATAAAGCTAGATTTACAGATTCTTCTGATCCATTGAAGAAAAACCCCCAGCTTATTTAGAAAGTGAGTTGGATGATGACGAAGATTAAATCTATTTGTATATAAAATTTCAAAAGGCTTAATGCAGCCTAAAACTCTTATATTAGAGACCGGAAACTTGTACGGCGTGTTCCGTGTACTGCGTACGCGTTCGACTTGTACTTGTGCTTGTACTTTTTCCCGAACTGATCTACGGTTTCCGATTCTCGATATCTAGAAAATGAATAGCTTTTGACAAGATTAACATATAGAGCGTTTCTTTCCAGGAATTGAACAATAATTTTACGTATTATGGCTCCATTTTATAGGATGGTAAAAACTCATTTTAAATTCATTTTCAAATTCTCTTTGCAAAAATATTCAGGTAAATGTATTTATTTGAAAAAAATTATATTTAAAAATAATGGTGTTAATATAAATTGAAAACAGTAAGTACATATACTGAAATAAAAGAAGTTACACAAGTATTATTTCTCATGAAATAAGTTATCAAAGGAACTTTGGCTAGCCAATATATATGTATGCATTTGTCATGAGTATGTTAAGATAACATATTGTCCTTTTACCTGTTGGTGCAGCATTTTTATGTTCAGAGTGTGTGTATAATATTAATATAATATAATATATTATAGAAGTGTTTCATGTTTTAAGACCACCATATCGTTTATCCCTTACATTGGTTTAAATAGTGATAAATATTTTTCGCAAAACAAATAGAAATAGTTTTCTAGAAAAAACAACTCATTGACACGCACTATTGCACTTCAACAGACAACGTGTATTATTTATATGCAGGCTCCGAAAGAATAAACCAAGCATTGAATAATGATATTTACCTGAGCCTGTGTGAATAAGACTCTTCTTTTTCTTCGTTGTGTCAAGGGAAATTGTAGTGGTTTTGAATCAGTTACACTGCATGTGGCGAGGCTTCCCATGTTACTCATATGACCCATCGAAGTAGTAGCTGATCCACCCATTAACCTCGTTACTGCAAAAAAAGTAGATAAATTGAGCCATAAATATCAAAAATAAAAATTAATTTCTATAAAAGTTCAAAAACAATAAAAGATAAAGAAAGAAGTTTTGAAAACAAACAGAAAAATCTGAAACGTTCTGCGAGCTAAACTTTACTATGGCTAGTACCAGGGATTCTGCATTTGAGGCAAGAATACGCTCCGAAAAGCCTCGGTGCCACCAACATCCAAATATACGGACTTGAAATAAAGGCTTATCTTAAAAAACCCATATCAGCTGTTCGGAGGCGGCTTAGTATAAACTGTAGGTTCCTCCACTTGTTGGAAAACATCAAGTCGCAAAACCATAAATTGGAGGAGGAGGTCGCCCGAAAAATCGCTTCAGCGGTTACAAACGACAATTAAAATAATATAATAAGATTGAATATACTGAGGTCCTGTAGACCAATCAGTTTTTCTTCTTAAAAAGGATCTTTGACTAATGTATCAAAAAGCAAGTGCCACCGGAGCGGCTCTCATTCCGACAGCACGCATACGTCATAGTTGGGGGCAAACGAAAAACCTCTATAGATAGTAGATTTTAACAACGTTAACACTAATGCATAGGTCTCGTCAATTGCCTCATTTGAAATTAACCAAAACTTACTTGCTTGGTTGAACCCTATGTTGAAAAATAGACGGGCGGCAAATGATGAAGAAGGTATTAAATTCACACACAAAATCACATGTGTCACCCCTCCATTAGGCATTCTGTCTCCATTATTGTGGGTCACTACTGCTCACAGCGGGGTACTTTAAGGCATTATGTTATTCGGATAATCTTGTCATCCTCTCTTCTGACAAATATCCCAAACGATTATCACCGGTAATAGAAAAGTCATTTGAAATCGCATTGGTTTGAGGAACAAGAAAGACGAAAAAATTGTTCGCTTCACAAGTGTTTCACATTCTGCTTTCAGAAAATATGATCCTATAACAAATGAACCGATCCTTGCTCAAAATGCTTTATGGTTCATCAAAGAATTGAATAGCGTGAAAATTAAGAAGACTAGATTTTCAAACATTATTACCTTATTTGAATAAGTCGTGTACAAGAAGTGTATGACAAGAATTCAAAATAATATCACTTCAACTCCAAAGTCGTTCTATAGGTTTGTTAATTCGAAACGTAAGACTTTTGGGTTTACATCATCTATGAGAATGAATAATAAAGTCTCTAGTGACTGTTACAGAATCGTAGATATGTTTGCAGACTTTTTCGAGACCGAAAGGCTGCTAAAATCAAGCTGTTAAGAAAATTCTGTCGTTAATATGGTATATGTATGTTTATAGAGTAGGAGCTCTCTGTTACCAGACTTAAGTTATTTTATAAAAGATATTCATATCATATCTAACATTACGGTTTATTATTAAAGAAAAAAATGGGCCAAAAGTTAAATTTAATAATTATTTTTTTACATTTTGATTTTAATTTATCGCTTACAAAATAAAAGTTATTTGATAACAGTTATTTTGCGATAAAAAAATTTGATTTAAATATAAAAAGTTTTTTTTTTACGTTATATACATACATACATATTTGATAAAAAATTAATGCAGTAACTGTTACTTTATGTCTCTGCTTAAAACTAGATGAACTTTGGCTGACGCATAAAATAAAACAAACGAAGTTAAAAACCTCCATAACCACTTACGGAGATAGACGAATGGCCTGGTATATCAATTTTTCTGCTAAAATAAAGCACCTCAAACTTTAAACCGCCAAAAATGCAGGAATCGAATTACGTATAACTGCTCACGTAAAAATTTGTTCTTCGGATTGTGTAAGTTAATGGAAAATTCCACGCACTCTTATTTTGAAGTGTCAACTTTGCAGAAAATTTTAATTGCGTGTACGTAAATATCGTGCAGGAATATCTTTAAACTGTGTATTATTGTATTACAACAAGCCTAATAATTGATTCTATTACGGAAAGATTTTACAATGTAGCATCACAGACAGTGTGGAGGAGTTCCCCTTCCTCTGCTTTCACCGGCGAGTACTGCAACGAAAATTTGCACAACTGAAGTTTTCTTATCCATCCGTATATCTTATGCTGCTCATCATTCCATCAGCTACGGTATTCGCCGTTACCAAATGGCAGAGGACCGTATACCCTACACACAACTTTTCTCTTGAAATCTCCTAGCACTGACTCATCAGAGGTTGTCGTCGTCCATGCTTCCGCACCATGTAGCAGGAAGGGAACGATAAAGAGTTTAGTTTTCTGCCACCGGGAGAGGACTTTACTTTTCAATTGCCTACTCAGTCCAAAGTATCACCTGTTGGCAAAAATGATTCTGTGTTGGATTTAACTTCTGAAATTGTTGTTCAAGATAAATTAAGTTATCTCCGACTTCAAAATTATGACTGTCGACAGGGACGTGGGAACCAATTTGCGAAAGCGATGACTGCTTGTTCGATGACAAGAGATATTTTGTCTTGCCCTCGTTCACTACCAGACTCGTATCTTTGGTTTTTTTATCCAGTTGGGAGATTTTAGAACTCATGGTGCGGTTGTTGAGGGCATTAAGGCTAATATCACCGGCGTACGCCAGCAGCTGTGCACTCTTATAGGAGATTGTACCTTATTTATTCAGCTTTGCTGCTCTTATCATTTTCTGAAACCTTGTTTGGTATCGAACGGCGCATAGAGATCCTTCCCGATATAGTTGAGTAAAGGCAGCTCCTATTCGTTTGTCAAAGGCGACTCTAAAGTCGACGAAGACACGGTGTGTCGATCCTCGCATGTCTTTTCCATGATTTGGAGCATGGTGAATATCTGATCAATGTTCGATTTACTACGTCTAAAGTCGCACTGTTAAGTTCAAATCAGTTTGTCGACGGTGGGCTTTAGCCTTTCACCCAATAAACTCGGTAGGACCTTATATGCGTATTTGTCGACTGTTGGGAATTCTTTCGGCCGAACATATTCTGAAAAGTAGCTGATGCATGCACCTTGTCAGCTCTTCACCGCCATGGTGTTCCATTTTTACTGCCGTTCAGCAGACTGAAGAAGTCTCAATGGCTGCCCTTTTGCGACCTTTCAGTGTCATTCTCAGCTGTTCGTAGGGAGCTTGAAATATGGTGACACAATTCCCTTATACTGAGTTGCTGATAGGTGCTCTCAGAGAGCAGGAGTGCAAGTCGAGTAGAAAACCATTCGACAGTCTGTTGTGATCGCTGCTTCTCGACGTCTTACTTTTCTAGTGTTTGTTGACGGGCATTCTTCGATACACAGAGGTGCATGCGTATCTTTGCTGCAACAAGATAACGGCCAGATTCAATGTTGGGTCCTCGACGCACGACTGCATACATGTCGTCCGTCTATCACAATACGATCGATCTGGTTTTGTGGTTTTTCGATCGGGAGACATCCGAATTGTTAGATGTATTTTCTTGTGTTGGAATCTAGTATCCCACGGCGAAGTCGATCAGCCTCACCTTATAGGGGATGTTTCATTGTAGAAGCTGAATTTTTACACAGTTGTACCAAAGATACCTTTTTTGCTCACCCTGGCGCTCATAAAGGGCATCTTTTGTCAAGTCCTTCTCTTCCATCGGGGCGTCGGCGAAAATCAACGTTATGTTGAAAAATTTCACTTTGAAGCGTTCATCCAAAAAGCTTTTATTCTTACGAGAACATCTTGTGGACAGATGCTGCAATTATACTTCAATGGACCTTTAAGCCGAAAACGCCGGAGTGAATCCACTGAAGCTTCCTCTCTTTCTCTCCACACGGCATGATTATCGCATTTTGCGCAAGGGTTACTCACATTTCCAGGGTGGGTGACCTGGACGCAAGAGTTGGAACTGAGTGTAGCTTCGCGACTATAACTTCATGCCCAGAAACTTGACTACACCCCGGATTTACACCCATATCCATATAAAAGCAACACACACAACCGAAGCCAGCCGCTCATTCACAACATAGTACTTACGTCGATTTTTAGAACAAAATTTTCTTCATTAACAAGCCGCATTCTCAACGTAACTAAACAAAATTGTCAAGAATCTTCAAATAATTGAAGAGAGCCATTTCATTAGAAAAACATTTATATCTGATGCACTCTTTACTTTGAAGCTGTTCTTGGACCTAACTGCTTTAAATAAGGATTCAAAACGAACTGTCAATTAGAAGTGTTATGGTCGTGTGATAATCTATGTTGTTTGACCTGTTATTGAAAAACTCGACTTCGACTTGTGGTTTTAATAAGATGATACCACCAGCTACACAACACGAGCGAATATGGCTCTACTGAAAGAAAATTTTTCCGGCCGCATAATCTCTCGCCTTAGCGATGGTAATTGGCCACCGAGATTTGACACTGTTGATCTTTTTTGTGAGGCTACTCGAGATCTTGAAAACCATCAAGTTATAGCTAATATACCGCTTAGCATGAGTCAAAAAGGAGTCGAAAATTACTTCAAACGGATGGAAATCTGCAAATATTTTGCGAGGAGGTCGGTTTAATGATGCGGTGTTTCACATATGTATATATCAATGAAGAATTCCCTAAAAAAGTAGGAAATACTTCACAGCTCTTACAATCTTGAGAAATTAAGCCTAGTCCTTTCATTAAACGAGAGCTAAGCGTCCTTCGGAAATAACAATTTCGGAGTAGAAGATTACAATTATAAATAGTTTTAATTAAATAACATTATTTGGAGTGCGAGGAGTCTTTTTTAATACAGAACTTGGAATCCGATCCCCTTTGTATCCGCCGTCATGCCATTCCGCAGTACGAGACTACTCCATTTCCATTATTTTCGTTATGTAAAGGGATATCCCTAGTACTTAGCACTAGTAGTGATAGTGCATCGCTATTTAAGTATCCATTCCACTATATGGTTAATTGGGGATTGCTTTATGTTGGACGACCCTACTTAATGTTTTTCGGTAGTAATTGCTGGAAAGGCTTCAATTGTACTGTTTGTCAGTGTAGGCTTACGAGAATTACTTGTAGACCAAAT